CATTTGTATTCATGAGTATAATTGTTTGTTGGTCTGTTTATATCAGTTGTCTAGTACCCATAACATAGCTTACATAGCTCTGCTTAGTTTAGGTCTAGATATCACTATGTGAGTTCCTGGAGTATTAGTATTATAATAAAACCTACAATTGTGATATTTTATAACGGCTAATTATTTTAGACAGTTACAATTACGAACCATCCAGCTTAGCTTGCGATTGAAACTCTTAAATGATTAATAGAAAATCAATAGCTTATATATGTAGTTACAATTGAGAATTATTAATAACAGCATTACATAATTATGCCTCGGACGGTACACATTTGTTAGTAGATAATATAGGTATATGAAGAAGAGTACATTTTTGGTATAATTACGAAGGGAAGTACAATATACTGCCTGTTAAAGTTAAAAAGTCGTATATTATAGTTTGTATTTAGACCAGATGTCAAACAAAAATGTTGAGCACAAACTGAAAGGTAAACAAAGCTATTATTTATGTTGGGCGATTATTTTTAGATAGCCTGCAAGTTCGCATTCAAACAACCCGACGCCTTTTTTTAACCGTCTTCCAAAAAGGGGCGGTAAGAAATGAATTCGAGTACTTGTATTTATTGTGTGTCGACGTTGTTGTTTACTTCCGATGGTCACGGGTTCGATTCCTCGCACGTTGTAAACAATTGTATTCATGATTATGAATTGTTGTGTGTATTCCATAGAATATGTATATGTATATGTATTTCCAAAAAAATCTAAGTATTTATATAACACATGATCTACTAACCGTGGCATAAATAGCGTGGCACTATGCTAATTGTTCAGGGTTATTTTTTTTATTTTATATTTATATACTCTTACATATTTGCAATTACTGTACTCATTTTGAGTATACTATTTGTAATTAATAAAGTATGTTCTCATGTCGATGGCGGTAAATGTTTCACAAAACATAATTATTTTTCTAAATTTTTATTACTTTATAATTTCACCCAGATTTAATAATAAAATCTGTGAATAACAATTTCATAATATAACAATTACTCTACTTGATACCTACGTGATAATTTCTACGTGAACCTTAACACAAACAGACAGTTTTAGTTTTGTCACAATTTTACGAGACACGACGACCTGAGCCTGATTTTGTCTCCCATTGGCCAGAGTTGGTCTTCACCCGCTTTATAAATCTGTCCAGAGAAGTTGTAAAGCCCAGCTATGACCCACAGCATTAGAATAGACTAAAAAAATCTCGTTTATTATATGTAAAGAAGAATGTGTCAATTTTTACACATTATAGTAGCTCGTACCATTGCGTAAATTTCGTTTACCTGTCAGTTATAATTTACATAACGCCGCCCGTCGGCCCAACAACAAAACAACCGGTGCAACGTTAGTGCACTCCACTAGTCTTATCCCGCGTCGTTGCTCGCATGGAAATAACTCATATTATTTGCGGATAATAAATGATAACTAATAGTTATAATAATAAATGAATACAGTAATTAAAACATTAATAATAATAAAGTAACAAGTAGAGATAAATAAATATTTTAATTTACTGACACACTTTGTATAAAAGCAAGAAATAAAAAGCATAAAGGTAGCTTTGATATATATAAACAAGTCAATATTTATTGAATAAAATACTTTTCGGTTCAATCACACAGTTTTTTGTTCATCCACATAAAAATTACGTTATAAATGAAAAAAAAAACGCAAAATGTTCGTCGCTGCATACATAATGTCATATAGCAACCCGCCCTGACTTTGAACAAGTGCAATAATTATAGAGATAAAGTTTTTATAAAATTCATGTTACTCACTAATAATGCATGTAGTTTTTTGTAGAAGACAGAATTTTGAAATCCTTTATGTATATTTTGAATTGGTCAGATCTTGACCAAATTTATATGAAACTAATTGTGAAGCAACAATTTTTGATTAAAAAAAGGATCAACATAATAAGTTCAATCAGAAATATAATTCTGTGGTAACACACAAAAATACAATGGAATTGAGACCCATGTTTTATTTTTGAAATCGGATGAGAAATAATATCTTTTAACTTTATAATAATAATAATAATCTCAGGACAATTCACACAGCGCCATCTATACCCAAGTTAAGCTAGCTAAAGCTTGTGTTATGGATACTAGATAACTGATACATATACATAGATATATTTTTTTTTTGTAAATACATACATATTGTACAGAGAAAACACCCAGACCGATACAAACAATCATACTCAAGAATACAAATGTTTGTGCCGTGCGAGGAATCGAACCCGCGACCATCGGTTGTAAAGCGGTGTTCTAGACCGCTAGACCACCGAGGTCGTCAAATAGTAGTATCATATTTACATTTAACGGTTTACAATTGTTGTTACATTTATACAATAACAACATTTTTTTAATTAAATATTCAAAAGGTGATATGTATTTTATATCAACAAAACATCTTACTTAACTCTTACTAACAAAAACATGGAAAATTTTAAAATAAATAAGAATACACAAAATAAAATTGCATTTCACTTTCAGACGACTACGGTGGTCTAGTGGTTTAGCACACTGCCTTACTTTCCGTTGATCGCGGGTTTGTTACCCGCATAATACAAACATTTGTATTCATGAATATATATATAAGATAAGTAATTACACATTTGTATATTCTGTAGCCTACTTTCATTTAGTTGACGCAATGGATTAAACTATAAATATTGTTATGAATACATAAACTTCAAGTTATTTTATCTTATCTTCGTCTACAATCGAGCAATCTGAATTATAGGTACTTAGTACTTACTAAACATAAATGTGCATTTGTATTTATTTATTAGTTTCATGTTATCGATCATCAGATGAATTTAATTAAAAACTACTTATATTATATCTAGAATTTAACAATATACATATTTATATAATTTATAACATGCATTGTATTAAAAACTGTATTATCCAGGGTATAACAATATATATATTCAATATATTTCAAATCTTCTATATCAAAAATTCTTACAATATTTCAAAAATGCATTATTTCGTGTGTTTCTAAATAGGCTATATATATATTATTACTTTAATACGTTATAATAACGTATCGGTTATAAAAATAAAACATTAATTAAAAATCAATTCAGTTTTGACGATGTTCTCGACAATTGATTGGCAATTGATATCTTTTGGCAGCCCTTTGAAAGAAGGAGTCTATTTCGACATCAAAAAATTGTATATTATTTTTCTTTAGTCCAGTATATGAATACCTAGACTGTGGACTAAACCAGATGTCATGTTAATTATTAACGTTTACCTAATAACTAGCACGACACCTATTAATTATTTATTCATCTAGAGATTTACAATAATATTGTAGTTAAAATATTTTAACTAATAAAATTCAAATACATATATTATTGATATAAAAATTCAATAAAAATAAAATGTGGTAAGATCCCGTGATATATTAATTATATGTAATGTACACGACTATACCATGGACTAAATTATATCGTACTGGTTTTACATCAAAATATTCACTAGCATTACCAATAATATTAATATTTGTATTTATTTTTCGTCTCCTATAAACAGTGGCAGATTATGGACTTGTCTCTATGATGGTTGCAATAATAAAGACACACTATCAACTCAACAGTTAGTGGCACTTCGAAAGTTACTTACAAGTACGGGTCTAGTCGTAAAACTTTTCGCACAATACATAACGAGCCGGTCGACATCTTGGTTGTAAATATGCGTTGGAATCTTTAATAAAGTTAGAATATGTAATGAAAGAGAATGTGTTTGGTTATTTATTATATTTAAATATACTTATTTGTTTCTATAAAGCTAAACAATGAATAAAAGATGGTGAGGAATAAATGGACGAGCTATAACTATTGTTTAATTACAGTTAGACTTATAATTAGTCTATAATAGTTTTCGGGCTAGATTGAGATGACTAAATTATGTATAACCTTGACCATCACATGTAAAGTGGGTGGACCATAGGAGGTCATTATAATAACAAAGCAATGGGTCTCACAAAATAACGGTGCAAGGATGTCTCCGCCGCATTTATGTCCTTGAGTTCGATATATTCATTCTGAGTAGAATACTTGCCATTGCATATTGCAAGTTTCAGCTTAAATAAGTACGAATTTTTTAATAATATACCTTAAAAGAAACATACATAGCCCTCCATGGCGCACTTATATTTGAGATCTCGATAGCCTATTTAATAATTTAGATCATCATAGTTTTCGATCATAGGAGGATTTCAATAATTACCATTATCCCACACGTATAGACGATGGGATAATTCGCCATTCTTCCTGCTATAGTCCTTAGTTTGTGTAGGTCATACTATAATGGAACGTAGGTACTAGAACTCTATGTTATTTCAAGAGGTACATCTTCAAATGACATAGAGATGTAATTTTATTTTTAAAGAAATTGTAACGCCAATGACAGGACCAAATTTGGTTCCATGTAGTTTCAGAACTATAATAATTAGCCGAAAAAAGCAACTCTTAATTTATAAATCGCACTAATATTTTTATAGTAAAAATTAATTACACTAAACTATAGACAAAATTATATTTATTCAAATTATGCAATGTAATATATTATTTAATGCTGACAAAGTTTTGTTTTTTTTTTTGTTTTATTAAATTAAGTTTACGTTATCATTATTTATATTTATTAAGTTAATAAACATATAAATAATTTAAAGTATACCCAAGTAACATTTGAATAAAAAATATATATTTAATTTGCGATGACATAAAATAACGATATGTAGACATACACAGCACAACAATAAGAAAACATATTTATGTGCCGGTCATAATTTATGTTAGGTAGGTGTATTCATAACAGAAAATACAAGTACAGTTAGGTACTTATATTCTGTTTTAATTTGTTTACTTATAGAAATTGATATTTTATTTTAATAGTCAGTTAATGTAATCACAAAAAGTTGCAATAAAGTAAACTCACCACCAGTTACAGAGAACTGCCTGGACCAGTAGAAGTAGGGTGGACAAAACTTTCCAGAGTAACTTCATAGTGCTTTTAAACTAACGTCACTTATACACTTTTTAAAAGTTAACTCCAAACTCACTCCACAGTAACACCGCAAATTATAAAAGAAACTTTGAGCGGTATTTAATATACAATAACAGTAACGGAAATCGTAATCGAAAACCAAGCACTAAACAATAACCACAAAAGCGAACAATAACATAACAATGTAATCACACAACATTTCCAAAGTGCAAACTCAAAAAAAATCGAACCAAGAAAAACTTTTAAAACAAACTTTTGCAAAAGTTTCCTTTGCCTGACCACTGAATTTTTAAAAATAAACACATGACAACGATTCGTAATTCGAAAACGGAATTACTAATTGCCTCTTTTTTTCGAATACGAAAAAGGAATTGGGATAGTAGTTGCTTAGCAAAGCGACGCGCTTGCGACCCGCGCGCATGGAATTACCAAACCAGACTGGCTTGCTTTAAGCCGTTTGTAAGTATTCCATAGGATTCGCCCGTAAGGGGAAGGGTCGCATCGGAGGGCGTGTAGATGCAATACAACGCTGCACGAGTTCATCCTCGAACCCTTACCACGAATAGCAACAACTTTAAAGATTTCTAACACTCGCGCACAACATCACAGCAAAGGTATTGTCGCATTTATGACTTATCGATCATAAAACTTGCGAAAACTTATGGTAACAGATTTGGAGTGAATAAAAAAGGTATTGGTCCTTAGCTGGACCATTAATTGTGAGCTTATGTCGTCGTCTCGAGAAGTAAATGCGCAAAAATATTATCATTTATTTTGAAATTGATTTGCGTCGTGTGATGGGGTTTAAGGCCATTGATGATGTCGTAAACGTCTATAATACATTATTTACAGTTAAAATCTGTATTTGGATAACTGCAACGAGTCCGTTTTCAAATAAATATTAAAAACAAAAGCAAGTGCGACCCTAACTTAAAATGAAATAGTATTGTTGACACAATTTAAAAATCATTAAGATTAAGACCAAATTAAAATTAATAATATTGGCAAATCACTCTAAATAGATAGAAATACATACTACTTTGAGGTAAAATCTTTAATCACAAAAAGTAATGGAGCTTTAGATAAAATTAAACCGCAACATTTGCATAATTTAGCATATACTTATTAACGCTATTGAGTTTACTAAAATAAATGAATATCTGAGAAGTAATAAATTATTTGTTATTGCTAATAATATAAAATGTATTAAAAAATCACTGCTATTAAAATTAATAAATGATTAATAAACATCTGCGGAGGAACTAATGTAAAGAGGAACTACATATATATTCAAAGTATCAGTAATCGATAATAGATGATGAAGAATTGTCAAGTGATCTCGTGCAATCAAATGCAGTATGACTACAAGCCGTAAATTAATGTGTCGAAGACTCGACGGGCTTCAAGAAAAGAAGTCGGTGGATGTTGTTATCAAGAGCCATTTTGACGTTAAATGAGGTAGACTAAGTATACCAGTATATAAAACACAAAATAGAGCTGATAACCAGGCAATGCAATTTAAATCGCATTAAATTGCGTTACCAGCTTTTTTTAAATGCACAAAAAATCGTATTTTAAAAAGTTTTTGATCATAGCATCAATCATTTCAACGAGTTCTTTGTATAAAATTTCTTCAAGATACCTTAATAACTAATTTTGAATGACTGCATTGTAAAAAGCCCCTGTGGAGGGTAAAAAAACCACGACAATAGGGTTTACCTGTCCGCCATTTTGCTCCCCCTATGTTTACGATGGCAGTAAAACTGTAATTGCTGCAGATCAAACGAACCGACTGACTGACGAACTGTGTTGAGTTTCAAACTTACAATGTGCATCTGTCAAACGAAATTCCATAAGAAAATTGTATCTTAATTCTATTGGAATATGGATAATATTTCTATTAATGATACGATGCTTAATTTAATGTTTAATGCAACGATACATTTACTAGTTAATTATTGTAGCGTTTTCAACCTTAATGTTTAGAAAATAAAGTAATACTATGATGTATTGCAATTTGCAACATTATAAATAGATACTTGCACATTTATTTACGATCGTGTATGTAATAGAGTACCTAAAATATATTGTTCTAAGATTGCTATCTATTCTTATAGTATTTTAGTCTTATTTCAAATGATATAAAAACCTGTAGGCGCTTGATGGAAAGTATCAACCATCGCACATAAGACAGTAGAAACAATGTTTGTAAATACAAATATTCTAATTAAAACATCATTTATTCATGTAGGACATTTTTGCCGCTTAGGAACGTCAATTTTTTTTTATTAATAAGTAATATAGCCAAATCAAATTTCAATTATTTTAGTTTGAAAAATAATTGAAAAATATTGATTAACATACGATTTAATAGAATTGTTATACTAATCTATAAACGTATATCAAATAAGACTAAGACCGTATATGCCAAGGTTTCGAAGCAACAGTGAACGTAAATGTGTGAATATCTCGTCCAATTGTACCGATTGCAAGCAATCTACGCGCGCCGCGTAAAGTTAACAATTTAAATTGTTTTGCACTATTACCTCATTAGATCACTTGTAGGACAGGACATCCTTTGAAATGTCGTGAACACAACTAATAGTTACTCTTGCATCCTAAAATCTAAACTAATATATTTATAAAACAAATGTGTTTAAGACTTAATAGTACAATCCACTCCCAATATTCCATTTGTTATACATACGCTTTACACTTTGTATATTGTCTATTGTATATGATATTATATTATGAAGTACTCGGGTTATATTCGGGTTATTATAGATATATTCGGGTTCCACTCAAAATCAGTAGGTGTGTGTAAGAGACCCATATTACATACACCAATTCACAGTGACGCTATGCCGATACTCCGCCTACTTTAATTATTTACTTTAGTTACTTTTACATTTGTTTTTATTTGCATTATATTTTATTTTCTAATGCAATAATATTATGTCCTTTTCATTGTATTTTATTTTTATTACAATTTATGTAATATAATAATTTATATATAATTTAATACTCAAGGGAACAAGCTGTTTAGTAACATGGTCTGCTTTATTTGAAACTAGATGGCCCACTCAATAAACTTATTTTTACAAGTTATTATTATTATTATACGAAATACTATACTTAGATTATTTATAAGATCAAACATAAATGATAGATTTTTTAATGTATGAAGGTGTCAAAGCTATTATATCGACATGAGTAAATAAGTTACGTCAATACAAGACGTCCACTTTCATTAATCGTCACCCATATTGGTAATGTACAGTACTTCTTAGTACTACAGATATTTCACTATCATGTGGCACCCGGGATACCACTCATGCATTGCCAGTCCTGATGACTACGATGTCATGTTTCCTATCCCGTATTTTTTTTTATTTCTGTCTAATCTGTACCCTACAACCGAAAAGCAGTTCACAAAGCAGCTTGCTGCTTGGCGGCTGAAATAGGTTAGACTGAGATACCTTAACAGATGACATAAACAAAAGCTCAAATTAATTATATATAATATCGATGTCTGCTTTATTAATAACACATTTTTTTGTCGTAATGTATTGCTATTTTCAATCTTAATATTTCATAGGAGGCAACCCTAGCAGTGATACGACAGTAGCGACCTCCCAGTATAAAGAGAAGTAAACAAAAGAATAAAGATTCGCTCTATGAATAAAATAAAAATAGCGAAAGATGGTATCGTGCAAACGGGCTGAGTATGGAATATGCCGACTTATTATACTCCTAATAACAAGATCGTATTAACTTTGGATATAGAATTAGCAACGGATAGAATGGACAGCTAAAATATAAGTCTTAATGTAATTTATAAGTAAGAAGTATTAAACTTCTAGAAGTATACATGTATTGAATGTAATGTAAGTAATTGTTACAATATCAAAGTTTTATTATTGTAATTTCAAATGAGCTAAATTTTTTCACCGAGTTAGACTTTGTACAAAATCTTCTGTGTCATTTATTTCTATCGTCAAGGAGCTAGGTTTGTAAGTCGTACTTCAGTTTGAAATGTAATATACATAATCTCAGTGAATATATATAGGGATATAGGGAACAGTTACTATTTGTCGTTACGTTTAACCCTCCAATGACGAATGTACCAGAGCGTCAGTCACAAAAAAGGGAACATAGTCTTATGCACTTATTAATCGAAATATTTAACTTTACTTTTTTAAATTTAATGCCAACATATTGTTCTTTTATAAAATTAAGTTATCTCATATAATCCATAAAGAATAATATTCATTTATATTTATATTCGCCGACTCTATGATTTACTTATGACGTGAAATCGATGTCTTTAAGGCATTTATAGATTATTCATTTGTATCTCGCAGTATCGATTCTTTTATGTTATTGTTTGGCTGTCGTTTTGTCTACTGTTCCGATATGAAACGTAATTGGCAGTTACTAAGTCACCGTCTAGAGTTTGCTGTTATTATCTACCTTATTATCAAATGCATAAAGTTATTTTTCTTTATTGGATATCTAATCAAGTCTGTGCGAGTTTAATTCAATTATATTGTGGTAAATAATAAATTAATTTTTTTTTTTTTTTTTTCTCTTTTCTTATCTGCAATCAGTCCCGGAACTATGAGCAGATTTTTTGGGTGTGGGATCTAAGAATGGAGTGTCCACCCCAGCGGGCGAATCTACTCCTTTTAAATTAAATTTTAAAAGTAAAAATTATAATATTTATTAATTTGGTATCGTTCATTTATTAAATCTGTGCTTGTTATTTGTTTTACCCTAGAATTCTTTTTTCTTGTAAAGGTAAATTTAAGCAGTTTTATTAAGTTGATGGTAATGAAGACATTTTTTTTTATTGTATCGATGCATTCAACTAGTAAGTTTTAAGAAACAATAAACCCATCAAATAAAAAATGATTTTCAGGTAAGTATTCTTATAAAATTTTACATAGGGATATACGGCTAGACAGCAATGACGAAATTACTAAAGTACAACAAGTCACTCGGGTACAAAATTGATATATAAATAGGTACTTAAGATTATTTCAAGACGGTTACACAAACAAAGTAAACACGAAAGCAGGTAAAAGAACAGTTAATTAAAAAAATCCTCATCCTCATTCACACATTTGAATGACACTTCGATTTCTTATTTTTGTATTGTTTAATTCTTGTTATAACAATTTGACATCATTTAATGTTAATATATGCAGATATAACACTTACTTGCAATATTATAATTGCGCGGTATATCCGAGTAGTTTGTAAACTAAAAGTGTTTTATGAAAAGGATTAAAGAGTAAGTTTAAAACTAATTCAGGTTCCATTAGAACCTAAATTAGTTTAAAACTTACTCTTTAATCCTTTTCATAAAACACCTACGTTACTGGTGCTAATTACCTGATAGTAAGACAAAAACAATAGT